CCAAGGTTAGCTTGTAGAGATGGGCTGGCTCAACAGTAATCCCTCGAGGAACACTCAGCCAACCCCGACTCATATGGGTAATATTCCAGACATAATCAAAGGCTTTCTTTAATGTTGATCTAGGTCTAATCCCCCTGAGATCCACCTCCTCCTTTAGTTCTCCTTTCCTGAGTGGCACTTGTGTCATTGTTGTGATGTTGGAGAGTCCCAGTATCACAAATTCAGCATTGTGCAGTTAGTGTCAAAATTCATAAGTACATTGTTTTAACTCTACACTCTAATCATGATTATTTGATTATATTAATCAAAGACTTTAAAAAGCATCATGCAGTTTTTATAGCTAAAAATATGCTTGTGTTTTCTTTTCTTGAACTTGTGGAAACTTTGGGTTTTTTTTACACAGCTAACAAGGTTTTTAGCTTTTTATGGTATTAATTTAAACTAATAGGAGTTTATCCATCTACCTACCCACCCACATGTTTATGTTCATTATACAGGTGTCTATCAGAAAAAAAGTATTTTCAGGTTATTGCAATGATTTCAAGTTCAAGTAGGTTTTATTATCATTTGCATCACATGTGGTACATGAGGTGGAACAAAATTATGTACACAGGGTCCCAGTTACATCCAACAATAGCAAAAATATAACTTGTAAAAAAGAAATAGTTATAAGGATCTAAGATATAAACTAAGAAATACACTAAACACTAATAGTGCAAAACAATACACCGAACAGCAGCAGCATGAACATGAGTCTATATGAGTAGATAAGTACAAATGAAAACAGCAGCATGAAATAATCAGCAGCATGAGATCAGCAGCATGGATAATCAGCAGCACATATCACTAATTAAAATGGTGATTACAGTGATTTTTTTTCCACAGTGATACCAGTGGATCTGACAAATGGTTGTTTTTTAATTATATAGTTTATCTTCACATTATAATTTAGTTGGTATTATTAATGCTCATATAATATGGGTTAATTTTTAAGTTAAATCCTTGTGGTGCATTTCACATTTAATTGTAAGTCTGAATAATAAACTTTCTACTATCGCTTCTGTCAGTTTGTGTCTCAGTAAAAGTTGCATACAGATCGGTCCTCTGGTTAGGACCAGGAAGTCTCACACAATGCTCAACATCTGATTTTAAAATCAGATTTACAGTAATAGTAACAAACTGCAATCTGACTCTGACAAACTGATAGCCTCAGCAGAAAGGAAAAACTGAGAGGAAAAATAATTTGAATTCAGACACGAGCTGCTCCAACATTCTGAGTAAATGTGTGAGGAACATGAGAACATTAGAAGGTTACAGCCTGGTGTGGCTGCCAGCTGAGCAGCAAACAACCTGACCTGGTCCTGAAAAGCAGCTGCGCAGGTACTCACACACACTCATACACACACACACACCACTCTTTTCTAATCAACCATTCCATGAATCATGGTTTTTTAAACGGCTTATGAAAGACAATAATTTTATTAAAATGAAACTTTGGCATTTTTTTTATTTGGATTATTGAAGTAACATATATTGGGCAGCACAGTGGCGCAACTGGTAGAGCTGCTGCCTCTCAGCGAGCAGGTCCCTGGTTCAAATCCTGGTCTGGGGGCTTTTCTGGGTGGAGTTTGCATGTTCTCTCCGTGCATGCGTGGGTTTTCTCCGGGTACTCCAGTTTCCTCCCACAGACCAAACACGTGCATGTTAGGCTGATTGGTAACTCTAAATTGTCTCTAGGTGTGAGTGAGAGAGTGAATGGTTGTTTGTCTCATTTGTCTCTGTGTGTCCCTGTGATGGACCTGTGACGCGTCCAGGGTGTACCCCGCCCCTCGCACAGTGATTGCTGGACATGGGCACCACCGGCAAACCCCGTGACCCAATATGGAAGAAGCGGGTAAAAGATAATGGATGAATGGATGAAGTAACACACACACACACACACACACATATGTATATATATATGTATATATATATATATAATTTAATGCACTTAATACAAGAAAGGTATCAGGTGTAAAGTAATCAAATATTGAGCAATTGATAGCAAAAATGAATTCAAATATTGACTATAATAAGCAGAACAATAAGAGATTTATTTACATTTTTTACAGCCAATTCCAATCTTTAGAAATCAGGGCTAATACAACACATATTTTATTTATGTAATACATTTATTTGTTTCTTGGTCAATTTGTATTTTCCATTTAAAAAAATTGTTTAACCTAAATAAACATGTATTAAACAACTCTTACGCAAGAACTTTGACACAAATATTAAGAATAGTCTTGCTTTTAAAAAATGGGGGTTACAACAAGTTGGTGGTTAATTTTCCTGCTTATTAATCAAAGTATACACTGGTATAGGTGATGGCCAATTATTTAAAAAGAAGCAAATATTGGCCAATTAATTTGGTCTTCTGATAAATATGTCTGCGTCTAATAAGTATATTAACAAGTACCTACTTCAATAAATAATAATATATTTGTATTTAGAAAATATATGTAAACTATGCTCCACTGAAGACCATTTTATCTCAGTGCTCACTTTGTTCAAAGTCTTGAACAACAAGTATCTTGGATCTTTTAGCGTACCGTTTAGCGTACCGTTTAGCGTTCATCTTAGATCCTTTTATACGGTGTCTATAAATTATATTATTGCTATTTTTGGGTGTAACTGGGACCCTTTTCATTCCATGTCATGTACCACATGTGATGCAAATGACAATAAACTTGAACTTGATAAAGCAAATTAATATAAACTGCAAAAAGTCTCACAAAATTGACACAACAACAAATTTAATGGTGTCGTTTGTAGCTGCTATTCTACTTTGCAGCTTTAAAAATATGTTTTTCATGAGCCGCACAGTTGCAGGCAAAATTATAGCAAATGTATTTGCTTTATTTTGAAATGGTCAAGAGCAAAAGGTTGATCCAATTCAATCCAATTTAAAAATCTTCAACCTAATTCATCATTCTATAAAAGGTAGAAAGGTTCTGATTTGGACCTACTGCTTGTCTCCATGCAACCGTCTCTTCTTTGGACTATGTTCACAACAATGGTCACATTATTTGGTGTAGTGGTGATGAACTAAATTGTGAAAACACGATTGATAAGTAGGTCATGTCTTGTTATGACCATGTGGAGCATGAACTCAAACAGTCCTGCTGAGCTATTCAAGCTTCACCTCTGAGCTGGGTTTCTAATGTCCATTTACACTTCCAGGTGTTAATACTAGTAAAGTGTGAGTAACTATAGGCTGAATATTCTATATTTATACCTAATGCCAGTTTTTTCTTAACAATTTAAAAAGTATTTTGGTGCACTGAATTGTGTACTGCATTTGTATAATTGCTCCACAGTGATATTACCAGGTCTCAGTCATAAATATTTTTTATAAAATCCAGATATTGCATATAAACAAACCCCCATCTCATCTGGTCTGTGATCACAGAACATCGATGCTCACTCCTCAGGGTCCCTCAAAGGATCTGAAACAGAAGCTGCTGCCTTAAGCTGGTCCCTTGGGGTTGTGGCAGCGAGAATTTCAAAAGAGCCAGCGTCAAAGTGGGGCGTAAAATTTTGATTAGCAAACAGCTACATATGATCTATGTGCGTGGTGGAACAATACAAAGATGGAGGCTGTCGATAACAGACGAGGAACGGAGGGTATTTTTGGTAACTTCCATGGAAACCTGACTAAAATAGGACAAAAAGATCAACTAAAAATTAAGATACGCTTCAGAGTTGAACTTAATAAAAGCGTTAAAACGCGAAGCTTCAATTTTTACTTGCTGTGAAGGGCATAAGCTTACAAAGATCGTGCCAAAAATAGAGAAACTGATTGTGAGATGAATTAGTCTTTCTTATCAATATATGCTCCATGCAAGTAGCTGTAGTGTCCCCCAAAACCTGGAGGTTGAAGTAAGCCTGTCCCCGGTGGCCCAAGTGGCCCTAATCTTTGAAAACCCACACAGCTGTAGGAGAATGTGCAAAGTAAGGCATCTTTAACATGCTGTGGTACATAACCAAGCCTGCCAGTTGCCAGGGGGATTCAGTGTGTTTGCCTGTGGCCAAGCTCTGACACCTGCTGGCTGCAGCAATCATCAATGTCCTGCTGCCTGTAGGGTGCCAGCTTTGCCACTAAAAGGGCTGTCAGATATCTGTCATGTGGGGGAGCGTGGGAGGAGAAAGCAGACACTGTAAAAGGCATTGTGGCACAATGCATCTGTGGGTGGTAAGGGTCAAAAATAGAAAACCACTTAAGTGAGTTGTGTCAGGAGCAAACTTAAGGATGAAATCTAATATGTAACATTTTTTTCCAAAGGATGGAGCTGTGCATTGATGGCAGATTGTGTGTTTGGGAAATAGGTGTGTGTTGATGCCTAAAGTACAACTGAGTTCACGTCACAGCTCTACACAAGTGGTTTAAAGAAAGGTTCAGCTTTTCTATCGTCTCAAATTACAAATGACATTTAACGGCAATCAGAAAACAAACAGCAAAAGAAATGCAAGTTGCAGCTAAACACAATAAAAATTGCTCCCTTTTTTGCTCTAAGCTGGACAGAGCTCGTCATCTTGCTGCGGGACTCTGTTCAAACTGTAGCGGGGCTCCCTGCGCTAACAAGCCGCTTCACCGCGTTCTCCCGACGGCTCCCGAGCTACACCCGCCGTGCTAAACGTACACAGACCGTTATCACCTAAAATACTTATAAGTCCCCTACGTTTCACCATAAACAGACATTTATTATTATTATTATTATTTGAGATCTTAAGCGAAAACCGAGCTGCTCAGCTGAAGGCGGTAGGAGCTAGCAAACCGAGCTAGCTCGCTAGCATACCCCAGACAAAAGCCTGAATGAAGTTCCTGTGTGGGAGCAGACACCGTCCAGGTGCCGCTTCGCTTCACCGCCGCGAGTCGGAGCGATACAAACAACACGTATCGTGTAAAAAACAACAAGAACCGCAACTAGTTAAGAAGAGCACGGATTATAAGTACTTACCCCTCCTGGTCCAGCTTTACTTTTCTGCCGAGATCCGTTTGAATGGGGTGTTGTAGAGGAGGGCGTCCTGTTCCGGGGTCACATCCCTCCAGTCGGCAGAGCTCGGGCGGACTACGCAGACACACCGCTGCAGCTGCTGACGCTTCAGTACCGAAGCCGGACACTGGGGGCGCTGTCGACTAAACAGACTGTGAACAGTCCGTGAACGCATCACTGCTTCATCGTCAGTGTTTCATACAAGTTATGGGGAACCATGAAAAATGTTCAAATGAGCTCAGGTTATTTCATAATGTTTTATTTGTTTAATTTTGACCATTTTGGTGTTCCATATAACAAAGGCATTCTTCATTTTTGTCAGTATTTTAAAACAATAAAAACCAAAAACATGCATAAAACGACCTCATCTTTGAATGGTTGACAATTTGTGTTAAAATAAAATTTCTAAAAAAGCAAGCAAAGCCTGCTTTTTATTATTAAACAAAAGAACAACGTATCATATTTTACTTTACATACTAAAAACACAGATTATAAACTGAATTCAATATTCTCTTGTAGCCTGCATAATGATTTTATGAACATTACATTATTTTGTGGGGTGCACAAGAAACTATCTGGTATGCTTGGCAAAGTAAGAATTTTTTTAAAGAATTATTTTCACCAATGTCCCCAAAGGGGCTTCATATATATCAGACTATTATCTTATTACCCTATCGTAGTATATTTTTAAAAGAGTCTATATATGACAATAGTATAATAAAACTTCAGGAACTCTGTTATGACTTTTGGTTTTGTGTGTTTCCCTCCTCTCACCACTCGATTATCATAACCCCCATATGACCATAATTTTAAAAATGCTCTGATCACATGGTAAAATTATTATAATTTTTTAACTGGGATTATGTGTCATTTACATATTTTTCAAGTTTTATAAAAGGTGTGTAATGTTACATGTCATATCTACTTGTGCTACTTGGCAACAAATTAATAGCATTGTGAAATGATTGAGCATGAACTTTGTTCACTTTTAAAAAGAAACCGAGGCTGAATTTTTCTCAAGAACAGGTACATCTAAAAAAAAAATTAATATCATGAAAAAGTTACATTTTATTTTTCATTCATTTCAGAAAGTGAAATTTTATTTATTTTATGACTGTTTTTTGTTGTTGGTGTTATCCATTGCTGCCATCACTCTTTGTTAAGAAATCAGGTTTCTCTTGTAAATGAGTTCTCGAGGCTCAGTGGGATTAACCTGTCTAAATAAAGGTTGAATGAACGATTGTAAGAATCTTGGTTGCAAACTGTTTTATTGAGAACATGTTTCTCTTCCAGGAGTGAGTGAAGCAAATGCAAAAACAGGATGCAGACACACATCAAACTCATGTTATCGAAACAATAGCTGCTTTAGCTGCACGTGTAAACCAGGTGTCAAAGGTCTTGAACCATTTGACAGATCACATTCAAGCAGTTTATAAGACAACCTTAAAAAAAGTACATCTGAATTCCGTTTATTCTGTAAAGTGTAGCTCCTTTAAAAGGACAGCGATGCTTCTTTAAATTCTCCAGTGAATGTTTCAGCAATATAAGTCTTGAAAACTCTGTGCTGTCTAAGCTACAGCTCTTTTTAAAGTTCTCATTACGCAAACTCATATAATGAGTAGTACAGGCCATTTTAACTGTAAAGCTAAAAGACAGAGAGAGAGAGAGAGAAGCAGATCTTTAAGGATAAACGGCAAAAATATGTGGTTGTGGGGATCTGGTGCTCATCTCCAGCAGAGGTGGCGGGGTTTTGCATGCAAAAGAACAAGGAGCGACTGACAATAAAAGCTTAAAATAGCTGTCATGGCACCTGGCATATCAAGTAAAAAACAACTCAAATTACAGTGCAAAACTTAAATATAAGGAAAAAAAACAAGTACACAATCATACATAGTCCAGAGTGATGTTTTGTGGCAATATCTCCTGTTTTAAAAATTCCTTTTATGACTTTGCAGGCTTTCACATTTGTTTTTCCTGCAAATAGTGGTGTTAGTCACGATTAAAGCAGTAGTTAAGGCATTTTGAAGATCAAACATAGAAGTTTAACGTAAAGATAAAGAAAAGAGATGGTTTAGTTAGCTTGGGGGGGAAAAAAGAGAGAATGAGAAACCGTGACCCTGTTTTTTTTTTTTTTTAAATCAAAAGCAACCCTCAAGTTCAAGACATTATGATTTTTAAAGGTGCAGCTTGTTTTCATACTTTAAGTACACACATTAGATGTTTAGTATGAGTTTGTAGAGCCAAGTTAATTAAAACTGTCTGCATTTTTCCATCCATCCATTTGATCTCTTTACTCGTTTTTTCTTTTCCGGGTCATGGGGCATCTGGTGTCTATCTCCTGTGGCCACTGTGCAAGATACGGGGTACACCCCGGACAGGTCGCAAGTCCCTCGCAGGACCTCTGAACTTCTCATCTTACAATACTTCATGTGTTTTCCAGAGGCTGGACAAAGAGTACTTCAATACCAAATCACGGCACGGCAGTAAAACACAGCACGCATACAAAATTAAACACATTCTGGCCTTCACAAGTGCTTCAGTGTAATCAAATTAAATAAAACAAATACAAATAAAATAGGAGACACTAATGCAAAGAGGCAGTTTCGATGAGAGGAAGTGATGTTGCCATCGAGGAGTGTAAAGAAAGCCTTGAGGTGAAACTGCCACCGTGTCGTCAAACTGAGTCTATCTAGTCATCTTGCAGGTTGTTTGCAGCTTGCTCCCTGCTGAGTAATGCAGTTGGCCGGATGAACTTTCTGTTTCAGTGATTCACTTCACTCAATGGCTTTCAAATAGCAACCGATGGTTCAAAAATACATTTATGGCCTGGTGTGACACCTCCCCAAGGCAACAATCCATTTGTGGATGGGAGAAAGATGTATTAACATTTACTAAGGTTCATCTTCGAATGCCCTTTCTCATTTAAAAATGCTTAGATTTTTCTACTTTCTTTGTGTCTATAAGTTAAAAACAATAATTTGGCAAGTTTTATGAATGCACTGCTCTTCACGGTCGGTTATCTTTGGCCAAGGAGTGCATCATCCAGTTGACCTTCGTCTTCCAGCTCTCCCGTAAAGCTTCGTTGAACTTGACTTTGAAATTCTTCAATGCTTCCTCCTCAGATTTGCCCAAAGCTAAGGAATCCTTGAAAAAAAAAAGTAAATATCTTTATTATGACCCACTTTATCATGATAAGCATCACTGTCATTAGCATTGAATACCTTCAGATACTGGATATCCTTGGAGGAGGTGAGCTCGGGCAGTCCTGCTGCCTTCATCATAGCAAAAAGGTTGACAAACAGTGACCCGTTCCTGCACAAGATCTTATAAGCTCGCTCACAGTATTCCCTGAATCTGACAAAGACGACATTAAAAAAAGACATAGGTGTGTATCAGCGCCAGCGGGCAACTCCAGAAAGTTTTCAAAGAGGTGGCAAGATGAGATGGCCTCTGATCTTGTTTGGTACATCAAAACTAAAATCCCCAACAGAACTTCAGGAGTTTTATAACACTCGTGTCATATTAGGACTAATTAACTTCTGATTTAAGTCTTTGTTTCTTATTATCTTGTTGATGTTACCAACTGAGAAGAGCACTTTTCAAAAATATTGACACTTGATCTCTTCTCCTTTAAAATTATATTTATAAAGACACACGTAACCTCCTCACACCTTGAATTCAGATTTGAGGAGACCGGCTTTCTGAATCATATTAAGTCACTCAATTTAGATCTGATGTGCTTGTTGAGAGAGAGACTAGCTTTTCATTGTTTAAAAAATACATTTAATCAATAACTGTTCAAAAGTGATGTTTGTTTTTATGTGAATGAAGTTCTACTAATATTCTACTAAATCCAAACAGCTAGGGAATAAAAGATTTAACACCAAACCAAAGCTCAGGCTTTGAAAGGGCAAGATCACTAAATTATTGTGAACCCCCCACTGCAACTCTGGCCCCCTGGTATCAGAACCCCAGAAGAGTGTAAATGTATCACAAAAGTCACTGAACGTCATTATTATACCTCTCAAACTTCTCACTATTGTTCGTCCTCCCCTGCTGGATCACATGAACAAAGTCGTAAGTCAAGATAAAAGGCACACGCTCTCTGTTTATCCCAAGTTTTCGCTTGAAGTTGCCCAGGAAGTGTCCAAAGTCAATGTGGAACAACTAAAACAAACAAACAAACAAAAAAGTTAGTGTTTATCACAATGTTACAATGAATATTAACTACAAACAAGTGCATCACCTTAAAATATTTTATTCTAACGCGGCAATGATAAACCATTCGGAATCGAAAATGTTTCGAGTTAAGCAGTAACAAACTAAGCACACACACACACACAGATGTGTTGAAGCTCACCTGTCCAGTTTCCCTGATCATGATATTGTCGTTGTGGCGATCTCCAATTCCCAGAACATAAGTAGCTACACAGTAGCCAGCACAGGAAAGTGTGAACTCCTCTATTGCTTGATCAAGTTTGTCTCTGGTGATAAATAAGCAAAGCATGAGTGGATTTTCCTCTTACAACACATTTACATTAATCTTGTCCTCATCATATCCCAGGCTATAAACAAACACAAGCTTTAGGCAAAATGTCTTCACTGCTGCAGCATTAAATATCATCATATTTGGTCAGTCTAGACCAACATGGAGCCCCCTGTGTTGGGCTTTGACTAATTTTCTCTGCCCTGTCTCAGGCTCTGCAGCATTTCAAGCTAATTACCTTTCTGTTCTGTCGTGCAGTCAGCTGGGCCTGTGTTGCCATCGTGATACACAAAGGCTTATTCATTACATTCTTCGAGAAGCTTTCAGAATATACGAGACCTTCAGACTGTTTGGCACCAAATAAAAATCTACTCTCATTTAAAGCTGCTGGAACCACCTGCACACTTAGATCTTGTTTTTTCTGTCACTGTAATTCAATAACACAGAAAATGATCCTCAGACAACCTGAACCACACAAGAACATTTGGGGAGTTTTGATTAAAAGGAAAAATTACCCGCTGCACAGACTGCATCCTTAATCCGCCTGCTTCAATCAAAACAGCTTGAAAGGTAAAACATTTACAACATTAAAGTCAGGTGGTGGAGTTCTGTGGACATGTTACGGATGATTCATATCTCATCTGTTGTAGATAGCTTTTTGAATGACCTTAGTTTGGAAAAAATATGCTCACCTGGGATCAGATTTGCTAGTCAGAGTTAGGTCAATATCAGATTAGATTGCTTCTGTCCTAAAACAAGTTCAGCCTCAGAAACATTAAAGTAAAAACTACTTTATAAACTTTACACTGACTTTACATTCCAATATAAGATAAGATAGAACTTTATTGATCCCACAGGAAATTGTTGTGCCAGAGTTTCAGTACAAAGGAACATACACAAGGAATCACACAAGATATAAAAAATAACAGAGAATATAAAAATTCCAACAATTAAGGTCTAAAACAGGTCAGGTGCAGACAGAAACATTAAAGTGTTTATTGTGGTACAGGATTCATTTTATTGTCCTATGTGCAGAAAGTGGGAGGAATTGAAAAGTTTGATAGCCACAGGGAAGAACTTCCTGTGTTGTTCTGTGGAGCACCTCGGTGGTCTCAGTCTACGATTGAAGGTGCTGCAGTAAGAGTCCAGGGTGTCATGCAGAGGGTGTGGCGTGTTGTTCAGGATCTGGAGCAGTTTCCTCAGCATCTTCTGCTCAGACACCTCTGTCAGAGACTGCAGGTCCACTCCCAGATCTGAGCCAGCTCTTTTCATGAGCTTATCGAGTCTGTTGGTATCAGCTTTCTTCACCCTGCTGCCCCAGCACACCACAGTGTAGAAGAAGATGCTGGAGACCACCGAGTAGTAAAACATCTGCAGCATGGTCCCGCAGACATTAAAGGACCTGAGTCTCCTCAGAAGAAAAAGGCGACTCTGCCCTTTCTTGTAGAGGGCGTTGGTGTTAGCTGTCCAGTCCAGTTTATTGTCTAGGTGGACCCCCAGGTACTCGTAGCAGTCCACAATGTCCACCTTAGTACCCTTGATGTTGATAGGGTTGGGGGGCTGATCTTCTTCCTTTAGTCCATCTGCAGCTCTTTAGTTTTTCCAGTGTTGAGTCGAGGTGATTCTGTCCACACCACTCCACAAAGCTGTCCACCACACCTCTGTATTCAACTTCCTGGTCACCAGTGATGCAGCCTACAATGGCAGAGTCATCCGAGAACTTCTGCAGAAGGCAGGATTGTGAGCTGTACCTGAAGTCCGAGGTGTAGAGGGTGAACAGAAACAGCGAGAGGACCGTCCCCTGAGGAGCCCCAGTACTGCTCAGTATGGTGTCAGAGGTGGTGTTCTGCAGGCTCACACACTGTGGCCGATCTGTGAGGTAGTCTCTGATCCAGGTGACCAGCGAGTCGTTCACCTGCATGTCCAAGAGCTTACTGCAGAATAGAGCAGGTCTTATGGTGTTAAAAGCACTGGAAAAGTCGAAGAACATAACTCTTAAAGTGCTGCCTGCCCTGTCCAAGTGCATGTAGGCTCTGTGCAGCAGGTAGGTGATTATGTCATCAACTCCAATGCATGGCTGGTATGCAAACTGTAGGGCATCCAGGTATGGTTCCACCACTGATCTGACGTGCTTATGGACCAGCTTCTCCAGCAACTTCATGGCATGTGATGTCAAGGTCGCAGGTCTGTAGTCACTGTGTGAGTTCGGTTGGTTGTTTTTAGGCACAGGTACCAGGCATGTTGTTTTCCACAGAGCAGGGACCACCTCAGGCTCAGGTGAAAAATGTGCTGAAAAATGTCGCTGAGCTGCACATTAAACCCCTTTCTCCAAAATGAAGTAGTCCAAAAATCTATCTATAACAGGTAAGATATTAATTGTTCACAACCTGTCCACGGAACCCCATTTTAAAAGTCTTAGCTATTGCTTTAATGAAAGCCTTTGACATTAAATGAAAACCTCTGGTTCAGATCAAAAATCACAAAAACTGTTGAATGACTGAGTTACACCTTAGTCCAAGTGATTTGCTGCTCGTGTGTGAAAAGATTTGAACTATCCCTTGAAGCTGCAGTCCAGCAGACCCAAAGGATCTGCTGATGTTTAGATGCTGGACAGCACTGGATGCCCACATAGGTCCAGTGTCCATGACCCAGCAGGGAAGAGCTATTGTTAGTACCCCTACAAATGTAGACCAGTGGTTTCATTTTTTTTTTAATGTAGCATTTAACCTAAAACAATATTACTCGAGGAAAAAGCTGCATATTTTTCTTGCTTTGAACCTTTTTAGTGGTCATTTGTGAAGTCTAATACTAAACATCACGTCACTGTTTTCCTGTTATGGTGAAGGGAAATAATTCAAATTTAATTTCACAATGTCAATACAAGAATTTAGTTGCACTTGCACAAAAAACATCCTTAACCTTCATGAGAGGCATTTGATGAGATGGGTTACTTTCACATCTAAAACTGGGACAGGGTTCATGACAGAGCTGTTCTAGGCATATTGGTGATGCTCCTTTGAGGAATGGGGGTGATTTGCTGGAGAAACAAAAAATCCTACATGGGTGGATTTACTAACCCCATTGCCACTATGCTACTTCTCTTTAGCCTAAAATAATATTTTGGTGACACAAGTACATTCCCAGTGGTTGTCCTTTTTTTGTTTGGACTTAAATATGACCATCACTTTCAGAGCGATTAATCCAGTATTAGGATGATATATCACCTTAATAGGATTGTCAAAGTTACTATTGGGCCAAAGTATATTATACTCACCCAGGATTCTTAGATTTGAGCCAGTTGAGCAAGGCGTCCTTGTTAAAGGCTGCAGTCGCTGCACTGTTACTGCAGTTTCGCTGGATGTTGGCGATGGTGTCCGAGTTTTTCACTATTTCGATGAGCCCTGTTTTGTTCCCAGTGGACAGGCAGCCGTATGGGATCATCCTGTGAGCGCAGAGTGAAGTTAGTTTGTGCAGAAACGCTCCATGCTCAAGGTAAGGGTTACAAAAACAAGATCCTGCCTAAGATCCAGGCCTTCCTTCTTCCACAGATTCTCCATCAGCTGGATCATCTGCAGGGTCAACATGTCTTGACGAAGATCTAAAATAATAAAAAGAAGCATTTAATCAGTGAAAATAAATCAATTTTACACAAACCTTTATCAGTGTTTTACTTAACCTAGCATATTTTATTGTTCAGCCCTGTATATTAACCCTCCTGTGGTCCCATCTTTTGCTAAACCAGAACCATTTTTTTGTATATGTTGACACTGTGTGAGAGCTGCATGCGTTTTGTTTCTCACCGTCTCCATTTTTGAAGATAATTCCCACCATGTCTCCTTGATCTGTGAGCTTCTTATATATCAACCAGAGCGGCTTCATCTTCGAGTCCATAAATCTGCACTTGTCTACGCTGCAAAAGCAAAAAACAGACATTTAAAACACAGGATGTTTTGGACAAAATTCCAGATTTGAAGTCCTCAAAATTGAGCAATCAATTCAACATCAACACACAGACTTTTACACAAGTATCCGTACTTCCCAATTATCTTTTGTGAAACAGTTTTTAAAGTTAAATTTATCAAAGGGCAAAACATTTCACAAGATAAACTGAATAAGGTAAAATGGCACTTTCTTGATTTTGTTGAGATAAAACAAACAGATTTAAGTGCTGCAGTTTAAAGTCAAACAAAGTCTTGTGGCCCAGTAAGAGTGAGGAACCATTTGTTACTGTAAATTAAATGGACAAAAACAATTTGTGCGTTTTACGTGACTGACAAGATCTCGGGGAGGATGATGCTGGGGTTGAGTGGTGACAACATGTCTGACAGGGCCTCTTTGTACGACTCCTGTCTGATACACAGCTTCAGGTCATCCACCATCATTTTCTGAGAGCCCGACTTCACAATGTCACTTAGGGCTTTCATTTTACCCAGAGCTTCGTTCTAAAAGACACAAGTTTAGACTTAGAACAGCACAAACACATGATTTGTTGCTTAAAACCAGAGTAAATAACTAAGTTACCTGTCTGGTTAAAAGCTTGATGTGATGGATGTTTCCCCTGCAGTAAGCCTCCAAAATCAGGCCAAAGCGCAAACTCACAGATGCCACATGAATCTCTGATCTACAATAAATGCAAAGTCTCCGGTCAAACAAAACCCTGCAGATTAACTTGGTTTTATTATTATTAATGTTGGACTGGGTCCCACCTGAGATGCCAGAACAGGAAGTGTCCTATCCTCCTGTTGGACAGCGCCCTCTCTAGCAGGAAAGTGGTGAGATCACAGTCTAAGTAGGACTCATACTTCAGTACCTGAACCAGCTGGATTAAATACTGCAGCAGCTCATCGTCTCTGTGTTAAGAGAAAATGTGTGAAAAACAAAAAAGAAAATGTTTTTCTTTTGCACTTTAAGGGCAAACATATGAAACACAAATATGATGATGTTTGTACCGGAGTTTTCTGAGGCATCTGATGGTGAAGGACCGGACCGCTGGGTCAGGGAAGCTGTAGTCCAGGAGCTCCAAGGCGTGGATGGCGGGAAGATCGGGCCAATATTTCAGTAAATTCACCATCTAAAATGTGACCACAGTGGGAAAGATTAAAGTGAATCTTCCTTAACAAGTTAACAAGAACTATAAACTCAACTAGTTTGGGCTTTTTATTGTTATAGAGGATAATCAGCAGGGTTTTCAAAACATAATTATTTAATCGCTTTTAAGTTTTCCAATATTAAGATTTCCAGCTTGTCCTCTGCTTTGCAGCATAGACAAAAATAAAAGCTGATTTAACATTCTTAGGTGTTGGATGACTAGATGTTTAATTGAAAAGTTAAAAGATCGGATTGTATTCATGAAATTTCCTAACAATTTTTTTTTCTTTGTAAAGTTTATTCATAAAAGCCCAGCAACATGTAAAGAGTATAGTTAATGACACCATATTAGAGAGTCAGAGTCAGAGTTTCTTTATTGTCATTCGCACCTCATGTGGTACATGTGGTGGAGCGAAATTATGTACACAGGGTCCCAGTTACATCCAACAATAAAATGTATAAGAAAAACAGTAATAACATCTAAGATATGAACTAAGAAAAACATCAACTAAATATACACTAAGCACTCATAACATAAAACATTGAACATCACCACAAACATGAACATGAGTCTGTGAGCAGATGTGCACGCATGAACACATCAACATTGAAACAGATCAGCAGCAACATGAAACAGATCAGCAGCAACATGATATGGTTTTTCACAGTGATTATTCTAGTTAGAGATTCATGAGTCTAACAGCCTCAGGGTAGAAGCTGTTCCTCAGTCTAGTGGTTCTACACTTAATGCTCCTTAACCTCCTTCCTGAGGGGAGTGGGGCAAAAAGTGTGTGTGCTGGGTGGGTGGGGTCCTTCATGATGCAGGTGGCCCTCTTCCTGCATCTGGAGGTGTAGATGTCTGTGATGGTGGGGAGGCTGATTCCAACAGATTTCTGTGCAGCCTTCACCACTCTCTGCAAAGCTTTTCTTTCTGCAGCTGTGCAGCCTCCATGCCACACATTGATGCTCGAGCACAGGATGCTCTCCACTGCACACCTGTAGAAGGAGGTGAGGACTGAGCTTCCCAGACCAGCTCGCCTCAGCCGTCTGAGGAAGTAGTCTCTGATGAGCTTTCAAATTACAAACATTTTGTAAGCTATAAAGGTGAATCGCTGCAGGGAAATATAACTTAATGAATTTATTGTTTTGATTTAAGAAACCCTGATATAATAGCTGTTGGGCAGAAACAGTGTTTTTTCTAAAAATGCAACATTTCAGAAAACGGGAGAATCTTTCTTTTTAATTAAATACACTTTTTGACACTTTACTGGTTAGCCCAGGGGTCTGCAACCTTTGCAATAAAAAGAGCAGTTTTTTCCACTTTCCTTACCAACTACAACGTCCAGAGCCGAAAAACCTGCTACAACTGTGTACTGTCAACTGGTGGCCCATGGGCCACTTCAAGTTTGTTGGAGATGACATTCCTGGCCAGTGGGGGTGATATTATAAAATGAAAAATGTCTAACTATTATTAACATTTATTGATATTTTTACGTTTTAATACAAAAGAAAAGACCAGATTCATGTATAATTTTTAACAATTTTATAAAATTATTTATTTATTAACTTTTATTTAACCAGGCAAATCCCACTGAGATCACAGATCTCTTTTGCAAGGGGGGGCCTGGGCCTGAAGGCAGCCTAACATGCATGTTTTTGGCTTGTGGGAGGAAACTGGAGTACCCGGAGAAAACCCACGCAAGCACGAAAAGAACATGCAAACTCCACACAGAAAAACCTCAGGTCCAATCGGGGATTGAACCCAGGAGCTTCTTGCTGTGAGGCAACAGTGCTAACCACTGATCCATCGTGCTGCCATGAAAACACTGAACTCTGCATGCTGAAGTGAGTTCTCTTAATTGTTGAAGAATTCAGTATTAAAGCATAAAGTTAAAGACAGTATAAAATTAAACCAGTTTGTTGTATATCCAATTACATTTTTAAATTAAAACTAGAGAAATTGCATTTCCTTTGAAAATGCAGTGTAAATGCTTATTGCAAAGAACTTGCTGGAAAACAGCTGAAATTAGCTAAAAACATGCTGAAATGTAGCCGAAATGGAAGAACAAGCCTAATTAGCAGAAGAGAGGAGAAAGAACACATATTTGCTGAATTAGGTTTAATTTAGCAGAAATGAGCACAAATTATAAAATTAGCTAAAACAAAGCTGAAATTAGCTAAACGTAGCTGAACAGCTGAAAAGGCAGAAAGAAGCTTAAGCTACCAGAAAGAAACGAAAAGATCTGAAATTAGCTAAAAATGTGGAATTAGCTGAAAAAGCTAAAATTAGCATAGAACAGCTAAATAGTAGCTGAAACTTTCAGAAATAAGCTGAAAGGAGCATGACAAGTTGAAATTAGCAGAAAGAAGTTGGATGCACAAAAAAATGTTGTAGTCAGCAGAAAGAAGAAAGGAGCACAAAACAGCTGAAAGTTTCTGAAAAAAAAAGTTTAAATTTGCACAAGGAAACTGAAAGAAGCTGAATACTTTATTTGCTTTGACTTTTTTTTTTGTCTTTTATTCTTAGTGTCAAAAATTCCTTCTCAGCAGCTTGTCTTAAAGATATTCCAAAACATTCTGGTGGTTTTGAGAGAAAGATCACGATGTGAGACTGGAAGTCAACTTAAAGAGTTTAAACTGCTAATATGATGTAGTCCACATGTTTTACGTTTTGTATTTGTACAATTTTTCACAAACTTGTAAATGACAGAAAATCTGCTAAAACTAGCCTTTTCATTGTTGGCAATAATTTAAATAAAATTCAGTTTTATTTTAGTTTTGGTCAAAATCTGAAAGAGCTGCTGCAGAGGTACCAGAGAGCCACATGTGGCTCCAGAGCCGCAGGTTGCAGACCCCTGGGTTAGCCATCCATAAAACCACAGACGGATGTGAAGGGTGGCCAGTTGAGTTGATTCATGCAAAACCATGAAAATGATAAAAATGGATGTACAGGATGCAATTTTGACTCAACAGTGATCATTTGTTACATTAAGCATTCCAACAGATAGGGTTCCCAGCATTTCATGACAACAAAATTCCATGATTTTTCCGAGTAAATCCTGAAAATCCAGGAGATATTTCAGTCACAAAATCCTCAGATCTTAGCCTTAGGTGACGGGCAGAGTCACATTCAGAGATGTCAGTGAGTTTACTGTAGTCTATGGTATGTGCACACGGCAATCATTCCTAATAATTAATTATATTGTATAACAGCAAATACTATAAAGCAACCATAGCCAAGCCAACCAGTAAGGATACATGTACTATGTAGACAGTAGCAGCAGAACATGGACTCAATGATAATAGAACACGAGCATTAATAAACGTGCACCTCAAAATCTCAAAAAGATTATATTTTCATTGGCAGGTCAGCGTTTTAATGGCCCAGACCAGAGTTTTCATAGCCAGAAAAATGTGAAAGTCATTTTCTAGGTTTTCTCTGATTTCCAGGAGCACTGGGAACCCTGAGAGACCAGAACATAGTGACATGAAAACTTCTTGTTGTTTCTCGATGTTCTGATGATGAACGACAATTGAGCACACCTGATCCAAATCCTGGACTCTGTAGATTATCATACGGCAATTTGAATAAGCAGGTTTTGTATGTGAAAACTACACATCCAGAATAAGATTACCTAGATACAACTTTAAACCTAGACTCTTGTTTTTTCTCTCTCTCTGTACTCCAGTGATGCCAGACATGTTTTTGCGCTCCGTAACACCCCCCCCCCCCCCCCCCCGCTTCCCTGCTTGCACTCTTTCGTCCTGTGAACCCTTAAAGAGCCTCTTTTTTTTTTCCTGCATACCTTCCTAATTCGAAGTATCAGCTGGTCTCTCAACAAAATTGATCAACTTCTCCCGACAGGAGTCAGGGTAAGGAGGACCCTCTTACCTCGACGGAAACAAATTGGATTCATGATGACAACTGGTTATTTTGCTGTTTGGCTGATGAAATCTAGATTGTCTACAAAAACGTGTGGATGTGACGAAGCTCGGCAGCACACAGACTGAATTCTGTGCAGCCGCGTCAGAGAGCTGGCGCAGCTGTTATCAGGACTGTGGACTCTCTAGCAGCACCCATGAAGGTGGGAATAATTTTGGAGAAGCTGTGAGCTCGGCTTTAAGGAATCAATTCGGCTGTTTGGAGTTTCCATCAGAGAAATGTACCAGCGAGACTTTAAAAGGCAGAAACATCAATTTATGAGTTCTGTCTGACCCAAAATTGTGGCCTTGACGGCGGACTTATCTCAACTCCTCCTGGAATGTTTAGAAAAAAACAAAGATGCTTTGACTGTCTCCTCACCCCTCCCTTCCCCAAGGCTGTGGACATGTGACAGAACCTCAACCGAGCTGATGATGAATTTCACCTCTTATCTGGACAATAGCTGAGAGGGGGGGCTCTAGACTGCTACGACTTTCTATTAAAATTCAATGTTTTCACCGCCTATATGTAAATATATAACGTCTATTTATGCTGCTTTGCTGTGGTAGGTTTTTTGGATGCCTCAAATCGTGCCCTGACTAGGACACGGAGTGAGAGATCTTTTTTTTTATACCGTCTCTCCTCATGTTTTCTTCCCTTTTCTCATCTAAGCAAAATATTATTCTGAATAAGAATAAGGCCGCGCTTTCATAGTAGCAGCTTCGTGCACGCCGTCCATCTTTTGGACGACTGTACGTACACGTTCTTGTTGTATCTCGGTGCAATGATAATAAAATTTATTCTGATTCTGTTTAAACATACGTTCTAAGTTATAGCTGGAAATCTTAACTATGTTGAAAAAAATAAAAATAAATTTCAGCTATAATTATCGGGCCATAAAAGTCAATTTTATTTGCTGGATTGCTATTGAATTTGTACAGGGACATTTGACCAGAGATGAAATCCCTCTGATTTTAATGATGCACATATTGGTATTAAGGCACCAGTTTTTCAATGAAATGTGTTAATTACTGTAGTTATTAAATTAATCATGTAAAAACAGCCATATTATTTTTCCATCTGTTGTAAGCAAACAACTTATTATACTTGTTGGTGTATAAACATGCAGATTAATAAAAGGAAACTTTTTATTTCCAGGCAGTGGGATGACATCAGCTTTCCAGATTCATTAAGCTAGTCAAACACAAAAAAAAAACTACATCAGATGTGTAGTTTCTCCATACCTGAGCTACGTCCTCTTGCTTGTTCCACTTGGTGATGAGGAGCAGCTTGGACAGACTTTCAGGGTAATAGTCGCGGACTTCTGTGCGAAGCTTCCACAGGAGCTCTTTCTCATCCTCGAAAAACTCGGTGTAATTTTTGTTATCCATGATTTCTTTTAGCTTCGTGTGCTACATGCAAAACACAAGTTCATAAAAAATGTAGTGAGTAAGAAACGACTTGAATGTTCATTTCTATTGTTTTAAATCACGTAATGACGCAGTTATACCTCCTCTTTAGTGATGAAAACCGCATCACCGTTCCTCTCCATGTCTGTGATCTGAAAAACAGATTATTTTATTTTTATCCCTGGATCTATAGTGTTTCATTGTTCAGCCTAATAAAACTTTTCAGGAGAAAGTACCTTGTCGAGTGGAGGGTAATAGAGCGGGTGTGGCCGAATGTTGGGGAAGCGAATGAGAAGCCCAGCGGCGCTGTCCACATTGGGGTTCTTCTCGACTGTTCCCATCGGATTTAACAGCTCACTTTTGTCATCTGTGAAAAGAAGAAAAAAAATCGTGTGAACTCTTTTCTCAAAAGGTTTTGTTCACGAAATGAACCCAGCTACATCACTTCCTTATCTCAAAACAAACTCTTCTTAGCGGAAGATACATCCAGATAACAGTTCATGTCACTCAAAGCGCATTAACAAATACACGCTACACACTTTTGAAACTAACAAACAGGATCTTCCAGGAAGCTATCTTGAGCATCACAAACTACAAAATGTGTGAGTGTGTGGGGTTTTGCTGGGACCACGTGTTTGGGTATTTTAGACAGCAGTGTTTGCTTGCAGGTGTTGTGGGGGATACTGTGAACGTGACAGGAGGAAAATGAAGAGGAGGGAAGTACCAGGTACAGATGGCCATGTGGATAAGAGGAACTCCCCAGTCTTCAGCTGGTCCTTGTAGTCAAACACCATGGTGTTGACCCAGGCTATTGGACAGTCCTGGATACAGAAAGAGAACAGGGGCTTTTACATGGAACAGCTTTAAAATAAATTGTATTTGACTCCTAAACGTCTGTTTTTCAACTAGTTTTCATCATTTTTAGCCAGAGCTGGATAACAGCTACAGCAGAGGCAGCTGTAAAGATGTCTAAAACATTAGAAGTTATAATTTTCAGTTTGTTTCCCACTAAATGTAACGTATTTCACATCCTACACAATTTGTCAAAGTAAAACGGTGCATTGTGCGTTTTGCATACTGTCTCGTCAAACACATTTTTTTCCTTTAGCTTTTACAGAATTTGTGAAAGTTTGATTGTGTCATGAAAACAACCTAACAACAAGAACAAAAAAACAAACAAAAAAAAACTTCTGCAGCTTTTACCGGAACATTTTCAGTTGATAATTTCTCCAGTGCTGCTAAAAGGGAACAAAACTCCTGGCAGTGGGTAGAAAAATAGTTTTTATTCATTCAGTCTGAAAACAAAAACAACACGAACATAGCTGCAGTCAGAAACGGAGGCATAAACAAGAATGGCTAAAATAGCTCAACTTCCGTCTGCCTCTACAGTGTATGGCTGCAGGACTTCTCTTCCGGGCAACAGAAGAGAGAAGTGGTTCAGAAAAGAAGAAGTGGTCTTGATGCTCTTTAAACACACCTGGGCACCGTGTGTGGCATGTCAGCCCTGAACCTGGTGCCCACAGCCGCTGTAGTGCTGTCAAAACAAAAGCAGCTGAGACCACAGCAGCAGAAAAAAGGGAAATTTGTTGTTGTCCATCGAACGGGTGTGAGGAGGTTCTTTAGAGTTTACAGGTTAGCATGACTGTAGTTTTAGTTTGATCTAAAATCTTATCTTAAAAGAGGAAATATTGTATCAAAAGGGCAAAAACCCTTCAATCAGTTACATAATAATTGTGGCTGATTACATAAAATAAGGAAATGTGTCACTAAGTTACAAAAGTATGCAACTAATGATGTAAAATATTTCATACTAAAGCAAAACTCGCAGACAATTATGCTCATGTTGACTCGAGCTAAAGGCTACGTTTCCTCGAATGTTACATTGAAAAAGTTTTAATTACACCGACAGATGAGCTTCACTTTAATTATTAGATTAAACTCCTTTGATTGAATACAACAGTTAGAAAAAATTCATATGCAGTACACACAACTGAATTTACCCTATTTTGCACTACTAGTCTGAAATAAGCATTTAATTTACAATAAAAAAAAGGAAATTTTGAGAAAGAAAAAATAATTGCTATTCACATCTTTTGTCATTTTACTGTAGAGCAATATTGTTTGATATTCATAAAATAGTCTAAATGTGTTTATACATAAAATCATATATTAAAATGAATTAGAACATGATGCTTTCTGAAAAATAAGGCACATTGTTAAAGATTTAATTTTACCCATAATGCATTTTGAAAACAATTGAGCACAGTTAGACAAAAAAAATACATTTTTGTTACTATTATTTTATCACAGTAATAACATATTAACTCAAGCCCAATAATAATAAACTCATTACATGTATGGTAATACTTACATTATATACTTTTTACTAGACTATTGTCAAAATAAATTTATTTTAAACATTACTTTTCATCTGTAGTGTTAATTTCACAAAGTTCTGATTGTTTTATGTATTTTCTTCAATCAGAAATGAAGTAAAATATAATAATTGCTTATTCATAGAGTCGTGTATGTTTTTATGCTGATAACATTGTCTTTATTATTTAAAACTTTTTTTCCCATATGGCTGAAAACTGAATTAAAACAAACATTGTCTTAATTAACCAACCAAATTTTAGCGCTACATCTTACTGCCTTTCATACGTCTTATAAAACTGAAACTTGAGCTGATTAAGAGCTCATTGGGTTTGCTGAAAATAGCACAAAATGTCTTACTGTAAAAAAAAGAAACGTTTTTTCTTGAAAGAAATGGAAAATACTACAAGTTACTTAATTCTATTCTATATTTTACATGTCGGGGCAGCACGGTGGCGCAACTGGTAGAGCTGCTGCCTCTCAGCGAGCAGGTCCCTGGTTCAAACCCCGGTCCAGGAGCCTTTCTGGGTGGAGTTTGCATGTTCTCTCCGTGCATGCGTGGGTTTTCTCCGGGTGCTCCGGTTTCCTCCCACAGACCAAAAACATGCATGTTAGGCTGATTGGTAACTCTAAATTGTCTCTAGATGTGAGTGAGAGAGTAAATTGTTGTTTGTCTCGTGTGTCTCTATGTGTCCCTGTGATGGACTTGCGACCCGTCCAGGGTGTACCCCGACCCTTGCACAGTGATTGCTGGACATGGGCACCAGCGACCCCCGTGACCCAAACTGGAATAAACGGGTAAAGATAATGGATGGATGGATGGATGGATTTTACATGTCTTATGTGTTATAATTACTTTATGTTATGTACAGAAATCTGCAATAAATTGTGATTGGCTGTTTCCAGGATTGAACACTTTTCACATAAAATAGTTCAGACAAAATTTTACTTATAACAATTTGATTTGGGTGTAACTTCTATAAATCTGCAACTAACTAACAAATTTGAGCAATCTTAGGTCTTATACTGTATCTCGATTTGTGTGTTGGCATCTAAAAATGTAGCGTTTGCAACAAAACATTTCACATAGCTTTAACTACAAAGAGACATCTTTAAAAAGTCCCCACTCTGAGAAAAGCATACTCTGTAAATGTTTAAGGCCTAAAGCTGACCCCTGAGTAAGCCTTAATTTTGCGTAATAAGTTAAAAAGTAAAACTTTTGATACGTGGGCGTGCGTCATGTCAACTGGGAGTATGAATTTAGAATTCCTTGAAATGTTTGGCGGTTCCTTCCTTCCTTGGGACTAATGTGTAGATAAAAGAGCTGAAGCGGATGAAATGTTAACCGCAGCTTTTGCCACTGAACACACTTGCACAATCAGACGCAACAGCAAAACACACCCGCAGAGCGCACACCGACTACACACGCTGCACACTGGAGAGGAAACGGTGTAGGGGTGAGGGTTGTTTGTGCCTGTTAACAAAGATACACCCTCCAGCCTGAGCATCTCTCCTCTCAGTCACAACTGGTACACATGAGCCTTCCCCCTGAAAAAATAATAAATAAATAAGAACTCACAGCTTTTTTATTCTTCTTCTTTGTGCCGCGGGGTTTCTTGGCCTTCTCAATGACAGCATAGAGGGCAAAGCACAGGCGGCTCATGCGGGGCAGGTCGGACACGTTTATGTCAAACTCCAGCTTCTGATCCCACAGCGGCTCGGAGCACACCGTCACCTCGGAGCTCGTCACCACCTTACAAAGCAGCTCACTGCCGTGGAACAGGCCGGCCTGCACCACAAGCTGCCGAGGGGAAGCAAAAATACATACCAAGTGGTGATTAGACATGACATGTGGTTTGGAAGGTGAAGGGTTTAGCGCTTGCGTGAGGGTGATTGTTTGTGGATGAGTTACAGACTCTGCAGATAGATGATTCAGAGCTTCCTGTGTCACTCAAGCTATGAGTCAGAGGGTCTACACATCGTTAAAGTAAACAAGTTGCGATGGTTTTTCAGAGTCCACGAGATATAATGAAAACCTGCCAGAGTAGATGCTGTTCGACCTTTAGAATCCAGTACATTGTGGAGAGTTGCGTGAACTGATTTTATTCAAACAGTTCTATTTCCTGGGTGGAATGATTATATGAAATGCAACTTCAATGATTTGTCAAAATGAGAATTCAGTACACAAGTTTAAATTTATAGTGGATTTTCTATAATATTTGGCTAAACATTCCTTAACAAGTTGCACCTTGACCAGAGGCTTTTTGTCTTCATAAACAAACTTCCAGTGTCGTTTTGGATGGATACTTGACCACTCTTCTTGGCAGAATTAGTAGTTTATTTAATTTGGTTGGCTGGCAGTAATATGTCTTTAATCTGCAGCTTTACAACAGAGCTAGCCTGCTTTTTTAAATCCAGAAATCAGTTCTGATTTGTGTTTGAGATTGTTTTTCCATTAGAGCACCCAGTTGTGTCCAAATTTCAACCATCTAGCTCAGATGTGGGCAGTTTAAGGCCCGAGGGCCAAAAGTGGCCCTTGGACAATCTCCATCAGGCCCCCAACATCCTTAGTTTAAAAAAAAGCACCCAACTTTTTAAATAAAGCTTGATAAAATACCAGCAATTTATCAACAAGACGTAAGGAAATTTAAATTAATCATCTTATGCAAAACTTAAAAAAAAATTATTTTTTTTTAATTTATTGTGTTTCCAGAACTAGACGGAACCTTATTAGAAACACAAATATACAAGTTTGTTTTGCATATTTCCGCTAACATGTATAACATCCATCCATTATCTTTACCCGCTTCTTCCTTTTTGGGTCACGGGGGCCACTGGTGCCCATGTCCAGCAATCACTGGGCGAGAGGCGAGGGACACCCTGGACAGGTCTCCAGTCCATCACAGGGACACATAGAGACAAATGAGACAAACAACCATTCACTCTCTCACTCACATCTAGAGACAATTTAGAGTTACCAATCAGCATGTTTTTGGTCTGTGGGAGGAAACCGGAGTACCCGGAGAAAACCCACGCATGCACGGAGAGAACATGCAAACTCCACCCAGAAAGGCCCCTGGACCGGGATTTGAACCAGGGTAACCTGCTCGTTGAGAGGCAGCAGCTCTACCAACCGTGCTGCCCTCCATGTTAAATTAATTTGTATAATATATTGTCACAAGAGCCAGTTTACAGAATAAGTTTCATATTCCTAAAGGATATTGGAACTGCATGTTTTATAAAGCATGCTAACTATGCTACCATAAGAAAAAGGTCTTACAGATTATCTGTCATAAAGAAAAAAAAATTCAATTCTCTACGCGAACATTTGATTGCTTTAAACATCTTGATGTGGCTCTTTGGAAATAAATGTTGCCCACCTCTGAGCTGTTGATCAGAGGTGAAGCTAAAAACTTTGGAGGTAGTCCTCATTTGTTATTCTATCCAGTACCACTGGCAGAAAAACAGCTTCACAGCATGATGCCATCTCCACCATGCTTGAGAGTTAGTACAACGTAGTTAGGCTTGAAAGTATCGCCTTGACTCTTCCAAACATACTTCTTGTCGTTGTGTTTTACATAGATCAATCTTTGTCTCACTGGACTGTAAGAATGGCTCAAATAACTCATTAAGCCCCAAACCCCTCAGTCTGTGTTTGTTATTGTTCATCTCATGTGGCAAAGATAAAAAAGTGAATATTTGGATACTTTACAATGATTTGCAGGGAAATTTCAGGGAAAACACTGACAACTTGCAAACGAAAATGAGATGCATGCAACGCGCAAATGAAAAAAGGAGTGCATCTGAGAGCAAGAGAAGGGGGAAGAGCATGAAGTCTGTCTTTTTTCTAAGAATCTAGGCCTCAGAATGAGACATAAAAACCCGATAGGCCCTCCCCACTTCCTGTTTTGAAGTTTTAACCAACTGCCTTGATGAATTATGGGAAACGTGTGGTTTGGACCATGTGACCTCTGTCATTTACATGTTTCGTTCACCGTTCCTACAACTGAAATTGAGATATTGGTAAACAAGCGAACGCCGCATTTCATTGAGCAGCAAAGGGAGAGAAAACCTACGCAAAACCGCACCTACCTTCATTCCTTCATCTGCGTTAACTCGGCTGCCCTGCAGCAGCTGAATGTAGAAGGGCTCATTTATGGACCACAGGCAGGAGGTGTTTTGCTGCAAAAAAAGAGAGGGGAAAAAGAGGAAATTAAAATGTTTTCCCACACATAAATTTGCATTAATAGCTGTCATTTCATTGGAGTGTCACTTGTGAAACTGTAGCTACAATTTCCTGTTTGGCAGCTTTATAAATCTCTGTGCACTTTTTTTACAAAACAATAATAAAAAAAAAAAATCTTCAAGTTGCTCAAATTACAATTTTCTAACAACTTTATATTGATGTTTTAACTTATAAAACAAACATTTCCACCCATTTTCAAAGATAGTATTTGCTTATTTACAGTAAATGCATTTAAAAAATTTAAGTATCAATGATTTACATCGACCCGCACTGCATTTTCCAAGTGTGCCAAAGTCCATGAGCTGGTTGAGGAGCAACTGCTCGATTAATAAAAGACCTCCTCCTACCTTCTTCATGGGCAGAGGGGGCGGTCTGGACAGTGAGCGAGTCTTGCACATCTGGCTGCCGACTCTGCTCTGTTCCTCCTGATATTTGCTGATGGTGGAGTGGTGCACCATGGTGAGCTGAGGGTTCTGGCCATTCCTCAAGCATGAGAAAATGTACTGGGTGAAAGAGACAAAGAACAGAGAACAAGAGTAAGAATGTTTTTGTTTGCTTATTTACTGGTGCAGCCAGTCAGTCAGTCCCCCCACCACCCCACACAGATCTTTTCCAGCAGTGTCCCAGTAAGACTGGATAACTCCTGAAGGCTGCTCATTTGCTGATGGTTAATGCAGCCAAAATCTCATTACTGTACATGTGGATGATGCAGCTCCCATCTGCAGGGCTGCTCGGCAGATATGAGTCACTCCTGCAGGTAGCTGCAGTTTCTAAATTACCAGTGGAGACTCCACCAAAATCTCAACTCACCCCACTTCTGATCTGACAATCTTCTCAGCTAGCTTAGACCACCTGTGTCGGGGACGATTCAAAACACGAAGCAGGGAAGAAAAGGTCTCTCTGTGTCTGTTCCCTTACATTACAGCCTTATTTAGAAATGAAAGTGCTTTTATTTGCATCTTTTTTACCACAACACTGGAATTTTCTGGCCAAAAGCAATAGTGAAAACACAAGGAATGAATTACATTTTATTATATTAAATTATTATTGAAGGCCTGAAAAATGGCACAGCTGAAGAGCCGAATGAGGCGTGCGTGTAATGGAGATATGAATGATGGAGGCCACTGGCAGCTCTGCGACACATTTCTTCATGGCAGTGCAGAGTGACTGTTGGATAAATTACTGTGACATCTGCGCAAACCGCCTCTCTGCTGCAGCTCCAGAAGGCTTGGGGGGATAAAACAAATGTAGCAAATTACTAAAATATCACAGAGGAGAAGCGGCTTTAGTGCGAAACAAAGAATGCATTTTAGAAATAGCGGTCCACATGACAGAAAAATAAAATAATGATAGGCTATGACGCGACGAGCTAGATGGGTATTGTTTCAAGACGTTATTTATGTCCACGTCTTCCAGTAAAGAGTTGAGTTTACACAAACTTTGATTCTGGTTTCTCTTTTTAGTTGGAGTGTGAAAGCAGTCCTACAAATAACACCAGGATCAAACTGAAGTGATAGATTTTTAAAACGTACAGAGAATGACAAAGGCCGGATCACTTCAAGCTAAGATGTCTTTTTTTTGGTAAAGGATTTGCGTTTCCTCCAGTAGTTTATTTTTTTTTGCCATTTCTTGCCGACATGTTTCTCTTAGCTGCTTGTTTCCATCTAACTGAAACTCCGTTTTAGCTGCTGCCTCAAAGACCCCACTTCATAAGAGACCCTCTCTGCTCTGATCGATCATTTGATTGTTGAAAAATGGCGTAATGCAAAGCAGCTGCTCGTTCTCTGTTTGAGTCAAGTCAAACTTGCCACCAGTTTCACAGCAACACTGAGACAAGGACTGAAAAGAGAATACATCATTATAACGCCCTAAACAGTGTCACCATCTTAGCACCAACATAACTGGTTTGTTCCACTTTGGACTAAGTTGTTTGGGGGAAGAATCAGTTTTGTGTTGTGCGTTTCCTTGACTGATGAAGCCATCCAGATGGAAGGTGAAACGGTTCAGCAAAAAAAAAAAAAAAAAACTGTCCAGATGACCTGACTGAAAATTGTTGGCGTGTCTAACGTATTTTTTAAAAGTGAGGTCTGGAAATATTAATGTCAAAGTATCCCTCTATAGACTGCTTCAAACTACTGTCACACAGAGTGTTTTATGGGATAAGAGCACTGTCCAAATAAACATGCATGTAAAGACAGAAATGTGTGCGTGTTAGTCAGTAGTTGTGCAGAACTATAATTTGTACATTTTTTTAATGTTTCCTTTATAAAAATGCAATTTAAAAAGTTACATCACAAACCTATGAATACTGTACTATGTTGAAGTTTACAGTTTTGTTTTACTCTTTATGAATACAAAGAACTATGGACCTCTGTGATCTTACATCACGGAGTCACAGGCTGATTAATGGAGCACAGAACACATCGAAACACGTTGCACGTGTTTTCTTAATGGTTCCTCTGTTTTAACTTAATAGCGCCACAGGAATTTCTTTTAAAAACAGGAAAACGAATCACCAGTGGATTATATACACAGGAGTAATGTTAGCAGTTCTGTTAGCAGTACAGTAGGTGAAAAACCATTAAAAACAATATGTTCAGATTCAAGTTCCATATTAATCGTTCACACAGCAGGCCAGACATTTTATTAAAAACACTACATATGTTTTCAGAATACAAAGGGTTGGTTTAACAGTTGCATTTTTATGGATACCAGCACAATGTTGGAATAAAAGGAAATGAAATTGCAGATAAGATTGCAAAGAAGGCAGCTCAAAATCATATTATGGGTCAGAATACACAAGAAAACCAGAGGTGAGGAGTATGATCAAAACAAAAACTGAAGAAAGAACGTCATAAAAGGTTGGATGGAGAAAGAAAAGGAAGATGGTTTTATATGATCAAAAGGCAGAAGGAGAAATGAGAACTGGAACTTCAATCTGAACGCATGCGCAACGCACATCGACGTGTTCTGTGCTCGATTAATCAGCCTGTGACCCCATGACGTAAGATCACAGCTGTAAAGTCCTATTCACAAAAGGCCGTAGTTCTTTGTATTCATAAAAGTAAAACAAAACTGTAAATTTTAAGTTTGTATTTGTCGGTTTGTGTTGTTGTAACTTTTAAAATTGTATTTTTTTTATAAAGGAAACATAAAATGCACGTTCAAATTCTAGTTCTGCACAACAATTGAATTATATGCACAAGGTTCTGTCTTCACATGTGCATTTATTTGGACAGTGCTCTTACCCCATGGTGTTTTGCTGTTGGGTTCAGATATGTTGTTAAATTGTTTTATTACATAAATGAATAAGAAGCTTTGTTTAAGTCTTATTAACTCATCACACCCAAAACTGCTTTTCAATTTTGATTTCTTGTATACTGAAATCTAGTGTTTATGATCAGAACTGGAGAGACGAGGAGTGAACAAGAGCGCCCATCATTTCATTTTCTTTACTCGATTCTGCTTTAGGGGTCATTGTGCACAGGCACATGCAAACTCCACACAGAAAGGTAAAGGAGGCGAACCTGTGACCTTCTTGCTGTGAGGTGACAGCTGTGCCACCGTTCCACCCCTATAGAAGAGCAGACAAGTAACTTTTATGCAGAAAGTCTTTATTTTAAAAAATAAAAAACTGTTGGCAGCGTGCAACTTTATGTTTAGTGTCAAAGCTTAAATTTCTTCTCGAGTTTTACTCGTTGGTAACAATCAAATAATTTTAAATGTGTTGTATTTATTTATTTATTTTGTGTTGTAAAAATGCCACAGCTACTACAAAAACTGACTGAATTAATCTGGTAATTTCATTGTTAATTACCTTGAAAGTAACGTAACTGACATACATTCAGGTTTCTGGGTTGGGCTAAGCCAACAGAAGTTTTAACATTTTAAGGAAAAACCTGAATAATGTATTCATATTGAAAAAAAAACTTTTTCTTAAACACTAAAGCAAAACCACCGGAGGGCCTAAACCTTCAGCTTATGCTGTACAATATTGTTTCTGCCCTAATATTCACAAATATCAAAGTATATCAAACACACTTATGTCAGCTTAGGATCTAAGGGGAGACATAATTAAACCTCGATGCTGCATAAAGGAACATCTGGTCATAATTAACTAAAGTGGGGACAGCTTTGATTTAGCTTAATATTAAACATTTGACATTGAATTTTTTTGTTAAACTTACATCCACAACGAACAAATTAGACTAGTGTTTTATTTTCATTTTTACAGGGCTCCTATTATTTTCCACTTTGAAACGCCATATATTTCCACATATGGCATATTTTCTAACTTTGAATCCATTGTTGTGCCATTTGAAACAGCTGTAAATTTCATTCATTCATTCAACCTTTATTTATACAGCTTAGTCTCATTGAGCCTCGATGACTCATTTAATTTAATTTACTGTAATGTTTGTACAATACTGCTGCTTTTGTTAATCTCATGAGACCTTATTGGATTTGGAAAATATGCTTTGCTCATTTAGCTATTTTTTGGTTTATTTTCATTTTTTATTAATTTTATTTTGACCACAATGTTTTTTTGTTTTTTTTCTAAAGGCCCCAAACTAAAAAAAAAAAAAAAAAAAGAAGTAAAAAAAAAAAAAAAAAGTCACATTGTCTAAGGTGATGAACATATTGAAGATTCTGATCAAAAAAGTTTTTGCCTAAACTGTTAAAATCATGGTGGCTCAGTTGGAAGAGCTGCCACTTCTCAGCAAGAAGGTCGCCGGTTCAAATCCCGGCCCGGGGTCTTTCGGGGTGGAGTTTGCATGTTCTCTCCGTGCATGCGTGGGTTTTTTCCAGGTACTCTGGTTTCCTCCCACAGACCAAAAACATGCATGTTAGGCTGATTGGTAACTCTGAATGGTCCCTAGGTGTGAGTGAGAGAGTGAATGGTTGTTTGTCTCATTTGTCTCTATGTCCCTGTGATGGACTGGAGACCTGTCCATGTCCTGCCCACCTCTCACACAGTGACAGCTGGATATGGGAACTAGTGACCCTCGTGACACAAAAAGGAAGAAGCAGATAAAAGATAATGGATGGATGGATGGATGGATGGATGTTAAAATCATTGAATTTTCACTGATGTCATTACAAAGTGTTGTCCTACATCCAAGAATGGTCTGCAATCTTGAGTTCACTACATGAAAATTGGCAACCCCAGTGGAATATGATCCAAAAGCAGACATCATAGTGAGAGATTTTTTTTTATATTCATTCATAGTCAATCTGCTGGTTAGAGCAAATTTTTAAAATGCTGATTTTTAGCTTTTGAAAACATGCAAAAGGTAATAGTCTGATTATGCCAATGTTTCCATACATACCTAAACCTAATGTTAAAAAAAATAAAGAAATTTGTATACCTATGCCTATTTTATGACTGTCTATTGTTGTCATTGTTATTCACTGTTGTCATCACTCTTTGTTAAGAAATCAGGTCTCTCTTGTAAATGAGTCCCCGAGGCTCAGTGGGATTAACCTGTCTAAATAGAGGTTGAAAGAAAAATGCCCACTAGAAAAGCATAAGAATTTCAATATACCCACTTAAAAGTGCCCATTGATAAATGACATGTCATCAGGCACTTGTCATTGATACGCTGAACAGAGTTAAACGCTTCCGTAACAATCTGTCAGTATGTAGCTTGTTTATTACATTTGCTTATTATCCAGCAAAGTATAGTATAATTAATACTTCTGTACTTACTACTTAACACTTGAACATGTTTTACTCTGATACTGTTTTATAAATTCTACAACATGTTTTTAATACAAAGCCAACTTTTGTACAAAATGCGTTGTTCATTTATTCAAATATAAGCATCAGAGAAATTTGGAAATGTTCAATATGCTTAAAAATCTAAATAAATTGACGATTACATTGTGCTAACCGGTGCACTTTGGTTTCTAAGCACATTATACGGATCGACCGTGGTAAAGTTAGTTTTACGTTGACAGTGGCGCTCTGTGGCTTCAGCGGTGTCCAACGTCCAACGTTGAACTAACTTTACCGCGGTATACCCACTGCAAAAATGTAGACTACAACACGGCCTAGACCCACAAAATACAAAAAATAAACTTGATACATTTCAAGGCTGTGCAGGAACCCCGTGTTTAAAACATAAGGCTATTTGCCGTTCACTGTAGTAACTCACTTTAAACTGGCTCAGAGGGTGGTTCCCGTAGAGGAACTCCAGCCTCCCGTTGACCTGTAAGGTGTAGTCCTCAGGCTCCTGCCTCACTGAGCGGAAAACGGTGGCCCTCTTTTTCAGGGCGCTCTTAATCAAAGCCACCGGGCGGTCCTGAGGGTCCTGCTGCAGCATAAAGCTTTCCTACGAGAGACGCACAGAGCAAAATCCAGGAACAATCATGTGATGTTTTATACAGCGGGAGGGGGATTGCCAATCACCTCCACGATATTCTACATGTTTTTTATTCTACATGTTTCTGCTCTCTTTCACTACAGCTGCCTCCTTCAGCTGTGACATTCACAGCTCGACGGCATGACTCATAAAGTGACGATCCACTCACATCGCAGGCCTCAAACTTGACATTGACGAAGAGCTTCTTGTTAGTTTTTAGCTTGGTGCCGCCGTGCACCGGCGGAGAGCAGCATGGCTCCAGGTCACACGGGTAGCTGTACTCCATCCACTGCTGCCACGGCAAACTCTGTCGCTCCTGAGCCTTCTCTTCGCAAAACGTTCGCATCTTGCTTCGAAACTCATCCACCTCGTGGTTCTTCTGGGCGTCAAACTCGTGCAGACCTGACAGTTCATAAAATAAAAACGTTCAGTTCAAAATTCAGTTTGTGTAAAATTTGTTGATGGAGCTATTTTGTGTTTCCAACGTTGAGCTGGTAGTGGCAGCCATCTTGAATGAAGCTGAATTAAAAAATTAAGCAGTGGTAGACAAACATGCGGTGATTGTTTTCTTAAAGTGGAATAAAATCTGTTTCATAGTTAATGAGATATTTTGCTAACAGACTTGACTTCAAAGATTAATAAGGTTTTAAAACAGATTTTTCAGTTAGTGCCAAGAGTGTTGTGGATGACTCATCTACTGACACATTATATTTTAGCAGTTTCTCTAGAATTTACTGAATCGTAGCCATTTTTGGGTTTCCTGAGGTCATTTAGCTGCGGTGGCCATCTTGAATGGGGCGACTACAAAATTGAGTCAGTTGTAGATGTCCATTTAATAATTACTTTCTGCAAATTTCATTAAAATCTCCCCAGTGGTTCTTGAGGTACAGATGGGAGCACATTGCTCATTTCAGTTATGGATCTTCCTGGAAGTGTTCAACCAGAAAGAACTGCTTTATCTTTAGAGTTTTATTATATAT